AGCCCATGGTTTAATAGAGCACCTAGACTAAATTCCTTCGGAACAACAATCAATCAAGTGTCTTTATACTCATTGTACAGTTAATAATGTTCTACCATCGAAATAAAGTCTTTAATTTAACCGATCAAAATGACATTCGGGTCTGCGGACACTGTAATATCACCATATGCCACTATCTTTCTAAATTACTCAAATTCAGATTCCGTTGTCATTGACGATATCGGAGACGCTATTTTGTGGCGATTTTCGACAAAATTTGATCGAAATTGGGATTTATGAAACATCATCACAAGAGCTTAATACAAGCATAGAATTAGCGATGATAAAATCCCATGAAATGAGGACCAAGTGATTAAACAGTTGAAGCGACGGTTATGTCCCCCATTTGTGACAACGGTATCTGACTTTACCGTTGTCAGTCTATTCCGGTGTGGGTTATAAGAAGTACGATAAAACAGAAATGACCCACCAGTTCTCACAAGTGATTTGATAATGGTGGTATCCAAAAACGTTTCTCTAAGTATGCATTTTTTCACTAAACACAACATGGTGTACTATTGAAACAATAATATAGAACAAATAAATATCCATTTTCACAAGTAAAACATGAAAAGCCGAAATTATCGAATTAGGATTTTAATACAATATTTATTAGTTTTGGGATTTTGATAAGTATTTTTGAAATAGAAAATGTTTTGTTCATTTGCCACTTCGCGACTCCGTATGTCGTTGTTAATGCCTTGGTCACATTTGGTCCGATTTTCACTACGGCGCCCGGCCGATTGAGTATTTTGTTCAAAATTGAATACAATATTGAACAAAACACTCTATCGGCCGGGCGCCGGTCGATGGATCGGAGCAAATGTGACCCAGACATTGGCGAAAACCGTGTTCTACTCAGTACTCGTTTTTTCAGTATAAATATCAATAATGTATTGATGTTGTGTTTGTGTAATTCGAGACTACCAAGAATTTGTTATTTTGCTTAATAGCATTGGATTGAGGATATCAGTGATTTAGAAGTGGATGTACGTGTTATCATAAGCCTCTGGGTGTTATTACTATGTCGATCGTGGGCCTACATTGCATCTACAATTGTAACATACTAGTGGGCTTAATCGAACGTCAGAGAGGAAGTTTATATTAATGATAATATTTTTTAGAATAATAAAGACAGTATAAAGTCCAAAGAACCATAAAATTCATTCTTATACGTTATGTATATACACGTATAAATTCTGTATTTGTAAGTCTAGATTAGTGTGTGTAATTAATAATTATGGAAAATGAAATGTTCACATTCGAATGCTGGATGAATCTATTTATATTTATATATTACGTATATAATCCGTGTTCAGATAACCTCCTTACAATCACATATATAAGACTATTAATTATGAAATGTGCATTGTCTTAATTAACCCTACTATCACACCAAACTAGTTCTCACTACGTTCTCGAAAACGGGCTTAAACTTTGCACGAACGGATTTGACGTACTAAGAACCCACTAAGAACCGTTTGGGATCTGTTTACAAACTTCATGAAACTACTAGAACGAGTAGGTCCTCCAGCACTTAGAGCATGCTCAAAATTTTCTGGTGATCGTCAAAACGTTGCCGAATCGGTTTTAAACTGTGTGCGAACTGAATGAACGTAGCTACAACGTTCAACGGTCTGTTTACGAACTTCATTGACTTTCCCGGACGGGGAATGTGATTTTAGAATTTTGAATCGATTCGATGGCGACCATACCGTTCTGTAATCAGGTCATGATGACCTTCTATACTAAGGGACGCGTTATACGACGTTGCACACCGACGTGGTGCGACCTGAACGAACTGCGAATGAGATGGACGTATTGAAGACTGTTTATGAACGAAGTAGGTAGCTAATTATTTTAGACATATATCCCGACCGCAGCCAGATTGAGCCCGTTTTACGACATTTTCGTAGGACTGGCAAGAACGGGTAAGAACTAGTTTGGTGTGATAGGGGGGGTACGGTTTAACCCTAATGTCTACAAACCATTTTTATAAAACTCAGTCGCAAGGGGAGGGGGTCATTTGAAAGTATTACTTGCCCGATTCCAACAATGTTAGTATTGTTTTAAACCGTATTCAGTTTGAAAGCTCTTTAAAAATGTATTGTTTTGAAACAGTAAGTCAACAGAGGTCAAATCGAAGTGTGAACTTTTGTGATAAAGTGTGACATTTTGTGATAAATTGTCAATTTCCTTTCAAAACATTTTTTGGTGCCAAAAATGCTACGTATCTTAAAGAAATAATCTATTATCTTCTAAATAAATCATAAGACTATGACTAATGAGGAGCACTCATTCTCATTAACTTCACAAAAGACATTTCAATTGAAATTACACGTAAAAGCGTTTCTATAACTGAACTTATGCAGTTTCAAAGGTTGTAATTATCAATAAATCGCATCCCAATCCTGTCTTATTTCAATGGGGGAGTTTTTTGAAAAACAATTTTGACATTAAAAACCTATAACTTTGTTGAACCTGAAGAAACATATCAATTTTTTTGTTAAATAAAGTTGGCAAATTCAATTGCCTGCCTAACTCGTATTTTTGCAAAGACTCGGATGGATGGATATTTTGTCAAATGACTTGCGACAAACCTACCATTTCACATTGGTTAACATGGGAATGTTGATTATCAAAAATTCATCAAATTTATCATCAATTTTCGACTTATTGTAATTGAGGAATTTTTTTTAGAATATTTGGAGGTATTGGAAATAAAGTCAAATTACGTTTCCATCAATAGTACAAGTATTTTCATCGCAGGTTAAGTAAATAAAAATTCAAACGTAAAGAAGCTTTAACACGTAGTTCAATAGGGGGGCTTAGGTCGCCAAACATATGGAGGGAAGTGTATCATGCCATGCCATCCAAAGAGTCATAAGAATACACATAGAAGACCATATGAGACTGATAAAAGCAACCCCTGGGCATTATTACTAATTTACTGACAAACGTGTAAGTTAAAGGGACACGATGACGTTGACCGAAGTGTTTACCACGCCTAACCATCGACAAGGTACAGTGACAAAATGTACCGTAGTACACTTTATATGTACGGTGTCATTTCCGCCATTTTGGATCGCCATTTTCTAGAATGAGGAAGAGAGGTAAGGAATAGCATTGATTTTATCAATATTGTGTCAGTTCAACATCAAGTAGTTGTTGCATTCGTTTTGTAATTAAGTTGCAAATATGCATATCTATACTTCAAATGATCCTCAACAACTTCATTATCGTGTTATACACTCCCCTCCATAAATTTGGCAACCTTAGCTCCCCCATTGAACTACTTGTTAAAGCATCTTTACGTTTGAATTTTTATTTGCTTAACCGGCGATGAAATAACTTATTATATATGTAAATGTAACTTGACTTTATTTCCAATACCTCCAAATAGATAAAAAATAGATACCTCCACATAAATACTTGAATGATCTTGATTTGACATGAGGTTGCAGAGAAATCGTAATTTTACTGAGTGGCTTCACGAAAAAATAAAAAGGCTATACGCCTCGTTAACAGACAGCGGGTGACTCATTTTGAACCATTCGTAAGCTCTGTGTTCAGCTTTGGGCTTATCAAAACAAATAGATGACTTGTCATTGACGAACAAAATATAGAGATCATAGTACCTTAAGGTAGAACGTCTACGTCGTAGAAAATATGAGACAATATGAAAGCTTGACCGTCTGGTTGTTTCTAGAAAAAAATATTTCAATTCAACAATGTTTTCAGTGAGAAATGCATTGATTTTATTAGTAAGAATTGGATTTTGAGAAAAAAAATTGATTAAAATTACTGTTATTGATCAATTATATTAACGACATTATTAAAATGCATGTCTGAGTGAAATCTGGGTATAATTGATTGAGCTGAGACATTTTATGTTTCGTTACAACAATGAATTCCATTGTAAATTTGGTTTCACCAATATGAAATAATACCTTAAGGGATAGCGGTTGATAATATAAACAAAAATTTAACGCTTTGAAAGGAACTGCCCAGAGGAGTAGATTCAAATTACTTATTCCAGTAATACAGGGCGTTCAGTAAGTAAAGCTAATTTTGCTCTCAAACTTTTATTTCTTGTCTATCATCGTTAAAATTTTCAGTGGAGAAGCATCAGACACTTTTCTAACTATCCTGAAAAAATGATCAAGATATAATGAATAACAGCAAAATGGTGGTTGTCATAGTAACGCGAATACGGGTTCTGCGGAGCAATTTTATAAGTTCACAGCATAGTAGATTTTTTTAACGTTAGTTTCTGTCCTGTCTATATTTCAACCATAGTTCTGTGGCTACTCCACATTTCTACTTTCAAGTTAGCATTCTATTTTATGTTCAAAGTAGTTCCCCTTAGCTTTCACACACAGCTGATGTCGTTCTATCCACTTCTGATATATCCTGTGGAAGCCATCTGGAAAGTTCTTTGTCAGCCAACGTTGAACGGCATTCTGAAGCTCATGGATATTTGCGTGGATCTTACCACGCAGATCATTTTTCAAACATGTAAATACCCCAAAATCGCACGGTGCCTTGTCAGGAGAATACGCTGACTGGCCTTGAACCTCCATCTCCAGCGTTTTCTGGATAGTATCCTGCACCATTTGCGACCTATGCGATGCCGCATTATCTTGATGGAATATGTAGGAGTTGAGAGTCCTATGGGGCCTCTTCTTGCGAATCGCGTTCACAAGATGGCGCCGCAGCACCTGACAAAGAACTTTCAAGATGGCTTCCACAGGATATATCAGAAGTGGATAGAACGACATCAGCTGTGTGTGAAAGCTAAGGGGAACTACTTTGAACATGAAATAGAATGCTAACTTGAAAGTAGAAATGTGGAGTAGCCACAGAACTATGGTTGAAATATAGACAGGACAGAAACTAACGTTAACAAAATCTACTATGCTGTGAACTTATAAAATTGCTCCGCAGAACCCGTATTCGCGTTACTATGACAACCACCATTTTGCTGTTATTCATTATATCTTGATCATTTTTTCAGGATAGTTAGAAAAGTGTCTGATGCTTCACCACTGAAAATTTGAACGATGATAGACAAGAAGTAAAAGTTTGAGAGCAAAATTAGCTTAACTTACTGAACGCCCTGTACATGGTATCCTACAATTTCAGAAGAGACTATATCTATATTCTTAAACATGGATTAGAATCATTCTCATTCTGGGGATTTGCATTGTATGTGCAAAAGTACATAAAAGTACATAAAATATTTTTTAATCAAATGTAACTGAAAGATAATAACAATTTGGGGATTTCCATTTGTTTTCTAATTATCATTTGCCTTCTTACCAGAAATGTATAATAATATGTATTGTATGGAGTGAAATGGGACACCTTGTATATGTATGGGTAAGCAAAGTTAATCATGGACAAACGATGGAAATCAGTTAATCATAATACCGTGATGCCAGATAATACATCGGACTACTTAACTACAATGTGTAAGCTGGGCGTAGAGAATATGAAATAGGAACACCAAAATGGGACAATTGGCAGCGATGGGGATATTTCTGATCGGCATTAATCTGTTATATCTTGCCACACTCACAATGGGTATGATTTGTACATAGTTTATAATGATAATACTTTGAGAATGATTGAAAATGCTTTATAGATCTACACATTGATGTATGCATGTTACAGGGCAGATTAGTTGACTATGAGGATAGCAACAGATGAAATTGACAAAAAATGATATAATTTATACAAATGTTTTTCTGTATGAAGAAAGTGGCTTTCAAATATTCAACAACAAGTCAAGCTTCTTTTATAAGATTTTGACATCTGAAAGATTTGTAAATCCAATAGCAAAAAAGAATTAGAAAGAAGTATTTAATCAAGATATTTGCCAATCATATACCAGGAAGATCTATGAATTTATAATCAAAAATATTGATTGCCAGAAATTGTCTGAACTCAATTTTTAAACTTCTATACAACATTCTACCTTGTGGTAAACCAGTGAGTAAATGGAACAGAAATGTTTCTAAAAATATATTGAATGCTAAGATGATCGAACATAATTAAATTTGGAAGAAGATATCGAACATTTAATTTTAACTGTAAAATTGTAAAACACATTTGGGTCATCTTGGAAAAGATTTTAAGTGTAAAATCACCTGGAAGATGATTTTAGGATACCAGAGTAGTAGCAATGTTAATGAAATTCTTACAACCAATCGGCCGGGCGCCGGCCAATGGATCGGAGCAAATGTGACCCGGGCATTATGGAATGTATTCTGGTTCTCTCTCTGGTTGAAAAACTCTGAAGCTTCAGAAGCTTACAAAAGTCATGTTTCAAGTAAAAAAATAGCAGTATATTTAGAATCATACAAGATTATTTTTCATTATCAGAAAAAATTGTAATTTGTAACTATTTACAAACTTATTCTTGTGTGAATTTCTACAATAACAAGTTTTATATTATATTATGTTGTATTAAATGTATGTGTAACTTGTATATATGTTGAATGAATAATTTTATAAAAAAATATTACAGTAAAACCTGTATATCTGAACACCTGGCTAATCCGAACACCTTCCAATTTGAACACTTTTTTTCGGTCCCATTTTTTCCTCCCATTGACTCCCATGTTAAAAAAACCTTGAAATCTGAACACCTCCTAATCTGAACAGTGAACAACCAGATTTGAAAAACTGACCTGTCTAATCTGAACATTTTATCAGAAATCAAATGTCTGGACATTTCAATTAAAGCCACATATTGAGTCAATGTTATAGTTGTTATTTATCTTTACATATGCAATGTAATCAAAGAACCAATATTGTCCTAATTAACTTATTTAAGTCTCAATGACATCCCTAATTGTGGAGAACAACAGGATGATTTGGAAAGGTGTTAATACAGGAGTTAATTGGTTTATCCTATTAGAAAAGAACTGAATGTTTTATGTTTGGAGTAAGAGAAAGGTGAGAATCTGGGAGATAATTGGTTTTTCCTTATTTTAAATTAACTGGATGTTTTTGATTTGGATTATGAACAAGTCTTAACTGTTTTATATCCCATGGGTCTGTTATGATAGCTAGGATTTAATCAGTAAATTTTTATAATCACGGAGACAACACAGACACATTTGCAGACAAGATTATAATTGTTTTATCATTATTAGACATTACCTGGATGTTTCTGATTTGGATTGAGAGAAAGGTGTGAATCAAGAAGATAATTGGTTTATCCTTATTTTAAATTAATTGGATGTTTTTGATTTGGATTATGAACAAGTCTTAACTGTTTTATATCCCATGGGTCTGTTATGACAGCTAGGATTCAATCAGTAAATGTTTTATAATCACAGAGACAACACAGACACATTTGCAGACAAGATTATAATTGTTTTATCATTATTAGAAATTACCTGGATGTTTTTGATTTGGATTAAGAGAAAGGTGAGAATGTGGGAGATAATTGGTTTATCCTTATTTTAAATTAACTGGATGTTTTTGATTTGGATTATGAACAAGTCTTAACTGTTTTATATCCCATGGGTCTGTTATGATAGCTAGGATGCAATCAGTAAATGTTTTATAATCACAAAGACAACACAGACACATTTGCAGACAAGATTATATCATGAGAAAGAGAAAAAATTCAACTTAGTAATATCCTATCACTAAAATGCCTCCTAAAAAGGCACATCTGACATCCTGAATGCCCTTGATATTTTGAAAGATTATGCATCATCTCGAATGAGGACTCATGAAAAATTAATTGAAGAGGGTATCTACTCAAATATTGCTAATGCCAAAAGTGCCAACAAACAAACAACAATGAACGACTTTTTCAAGCTAAAGTAAAGCAGTGTATGTAACCATAATATGAGATAAGTCATTTAATAAGCATAAGATTTCGTACAAGACTATCATGTAATTATTCAGTGTATTACAAAGTTTTTGCCAAAATTAAAGAGTTATTTTTCCAAAAATAATGAAATTGTTCAAAATGTAAATAAAACATAGCATATACATGTAGGCTATAGGCCTATTGTAGAATAAACTCATCAAGAACATGTATTGTTTTCTGACTAAGTATTAAGTGTTCAATATAGTGGACTGAACGATGAAAATCCCCCCCCCCCCCACCAACAATATCCTCGAAATTTGAACACCTGCCAATTTGAACGCTTTTGGCTGGTCCCATGGGTGTTCGGATTAGACAGGTTTTACTGTATAATGAAAGCTTTTTAAAAATGATGGCCAGCTTCCGTTAGGGACCGTTTTGTTTGAAATAGAGGACAATTCTAGGAGTTATTGGTTAAATGCTAGCTCGCGTACTGGCTTATGTACATGGATTTTTACACATGGATATGCATTTCATCTTTTAAACATCTTTTATTAGTTAAATTGAATGATTAAATTATATGAGTTATGTAGGCCTATAATCAATAAAAAATAAATGTTCTTGAATGGAAATTATATATTATGGATACAATAGTAGGTCATAATTCAATAAGCAATCCATAAAATAAGCTAGTTTTAAATAACGCAAATGAGACTATATGTATTCAATTCAAGTTATTTGATATGATGTTAAATTGGTGTCCAAGTAAAACATGGGACATGCTGTATGTCTAACAGCAGCGTGACAATGGATAATGTTCAAAAGTATACGAGGTGGACATTGGCCTAATTTATCGAGTCTAAATTCAATTTTCATTTTAAATAAGGTCAATGCACAGACACTGTGTAAGGTAACAAATTGAACTGATTTGTCATATGATGAAAAGTGAAAGCGAAAATATGACTTTGGTTGGAAAACAATAATTCTAGAAGGAAAAAGAACATTTACATTTATTTATCATTTTCAAAAAATGCAAAATTGGTATCTTAGCAAAATATGGCAATCAATGTTTAAAAAGCTGTAATTATAAAGAATATTGATGATGATCAAACAAAATATTCTTTATGTTTTGAATATCTTAAAGTTTATCCGGTGAAATGTTCATGAATAATTATTGAGAATCGAAAACGTTATCCGGAAAAAAGAGTTGAATGACTTGTTCTGTCCCGGCTGCTAATTAACTAGTATTTATATCGTTAAAATATACTTGACAGTATAATTAAGTGCGCCAGTATTTGTATATATAAAATCTACATTGTACATATTTTATAAAAACTATTTATTGATGAGGATGGATTTTTTTCTATTCAGCAGTAATTTTTTACAAATAGAAACGTTTTATAATGAACACTCTTCTGGCCGTTTATAGTGTTTTATTACAACATATATTAAGAAAAGCATGGCTTTACAATACAAGTTTATTTTTGAACACAGATTTCAAGTTTTTATTTGTCTTTCATCATGTTAACTCGGTTTCTATAAATTAGATGAAAAAATTTAAGATATGCACTATAGTCTATGAAGTGTTATAACTTCAGTCACCACAAATCAAGATATAAATGCGCCATAAAGTAAATCAAGATATAAATGAAATAAATGCGTCATGGAGTAAATGTTTATGATTATCAAAGGATCCTTCACCTCAAGTATATAATAAAAATGCCCCCAAAGCATCCATAACATATAATATGGTACTATATAGTAAGCATTTAATTATAGCATAATGTTCATGTGCTTCCAAAGTGATAGTGAGGTCATTGTGACCTTGTACAGGTCAAGTCAGTGCATATCTGAAACATTCTTGTGTGCAAAATCATCATTTATAAGACCCAAAATTTGAAAATATAATAAAAAAAATGTTGTTTAGAACAATTTTGACCTCAATCTTTAACATAGGGATATGATCATATATCAGAATGATGATATCCTCGTGTCAAGTCAAGTTTACAAAACTTCAAATGAGCTGGGGGTAATGCTCCTTCTCACCCTGGGGACACCCATACATAGACAGGTTACCAATTACCCTTTAGTCATTATTCGATAGTATAGGTAAATTCATAAGCCACTTCGTATCTATGCAGCAGTAGTATAGTCAACATCCAAAATGGCTGCCCTAATCATGTGCTATATTTTTTGATCAACTTCACTTTACAGTATTTCCGCAGGACTAATGCCTTGGTCACATTTGCTCCGATTTTCACTTCGGCGCCCGGCCGATTGAGTGTTTTGTTCAATATTGTATTCAATTTTGAACAAAATACTTATCAATCGGCCGGGCGCCGTAGTGAAAATCGGAGCAAATGTGACCAAGGCATTAGCCACACTTATATTGTCACTAAAGCCTTGGTCACATTTGCTCCGATTTTCACTACGGCGCCCGGGCGATTGAGTATGTTGTTCAAAATTGAATACAATATTGAACAAAACGCTCAATCGGCCTGGCGCCGGCCGATGGATAGGAGCAAATGTGACCCAGGCATTAACTCTGCCCTCTATAATCATGTTCATATTGAGGCATAAGGCAATGAACCGTTCGAATATACATGTATAAGCCACCTCAATACAACAAGGAAGTGAAACACACACACAGCATGGTATAAAAAAGCAGGTCACATTTAATTGCATCCAATGGTCCTTTTTCCATATAGCTTTGAAATTTCGTTAAAGTCTCGTTTTTAATGAGATTTTGTGAATATATTCTTAAACCTCAGTAAACGATTATAAAATATTAGAAGAAAAGCACACAATATTGGCAGTGAAATGGGTCGCTCTTGGAATTGCCTTAAAACATGTTCTTAGTTCTTAGATCTTTTTACTCTCAAAATTAATTTGAGAATTTAACACACAATCATACATTGAATTTATACCTAATTAGAGTGACACTTGGGGTGACAGATCCTTTCTAGATGAAATTATCATATAAACCTCAACCTTTTCAGGCCAATACCAATGTGAAGCTGGGGGCTTTCAGCATAGCAATAACATATGTTACCACTACGATTCGACGCAGTTAGAATGGGGCAGTGCTGAAACTGCTTGTAATTCTTATTCAAATGGACAACTAGCGGTAATTGACTCTGCCGACATTGCAGGGTTCATTGACACTACTGTGAGGTAGGTTTGGGTCTAATCAATGACTAAATTGCATAATGAGGCTATTCACTTAAAGGGTTGTTTTAAACTATACAATCAATACATCAAGATTACATCTTCCGACTAAGATTCCAAATGAGGTAAAAGCTTTTAACGACGATATTTTAATCAATTATGTCACTAGGTGTCTAATCAAATACATTTGCCAACGTTTGTAATAATGCTTATACTCCTGTTTATGTTTTCCGATTCAAAATTTTCCAATTTTGAACTATTTGAACAAAATAATAATTCAACCATTAACAGGCGTTAATACGATATCGACTCAAAACTTCCTGCTGCTAGAATTATGGAAAAAAGTATAGATAATTATCGTATATTTCTGAAGAACTTTTTGTTTGTATATACCAACAGGACAAAGAGGGTTGACTCTCAGGGACGCAATTCGATATTTTCCAACAATGAAAATGTCAGAATGTCGTTATAAACTTAAACTATTACTGATTATAAACTTAAACTATACGATCATACAGTACAATCAACTGTTCAAAAGATATGATCCAATATCTCGATCACTTTTTGTGTTGTGGATATTTTTTGTTTTAGTTATCAAGGTCAAATTTGAATTTGAATTCTAAAGGGAACAAAATGCCGGCTTTTTGAACTCGAATTTTGTAATCACGACATCTCCATATACAGGGTGTCAAATAAGTCCCGTCCCCCCCCCCCCTCTACAACCAAAACCAAGATATTTGGTACCAAGTGTGATATATCATTGGAAAGGTCTTCCAAAGTTACGTTGATTGGCATATATCTGACGCATGTCAATCAATCTCAGAAATGTTTACCTTGTATCAATTGGGGTGACCATATGCCTAGAAACATGGCAATTTGGCGTATTTGGCACGATTTTAAGAATAGTGTATAAGAAAGGTCACGGGACCAAAATATGACTAAATATGTTTATTGCGATGAATTTAACCTATTTCTGGATAGGGTTAGATGTGTAGAAAATACAGGTGTAAGGAAAATGGTGAAAACCTTTTTGTAACAAGTGGAATGTGAAAAAGATTAACTTTTTGATGTATTTCTGAGGTCATATCCTTGTCATTTTGACGCAAAAAAGCTACTTAAAGGAGGTCACGTTAATTTTAAAAGACATCATAAAAATATAGGTAAATTTCATCCAAAATACTTGAGAGTTGGTGAGTTAACATAACTTTGGATGATCTTTCCAATGGTATATCACACTAGGTACCTTCTGTTAAGGTTTTAGCTGTAGCAGGGGGGACGGGACTTATTTGACACCCTGTATATGGCACAATATCGAATTAGAACCCTGGGGTCCAGTTATCCTTGCTAACAGGATGAAATTAGCCATTTTAGGCGGCAATATGTTTAATCCCTACCTCATAAGTAAATATTGGCCCTACTCGCCTCAAATCATGCGAAAATGTCAAATGTCTTGATTATACCTGATCACTGGTGATCCACTCGATTACGCTGGTTACCGAAACGGTTCGTTTTGGTAACAAAATGTCGGAACATCGAAGGTACGATTTTTCTTTTTTCCTAATTTTTTTAATACAAACATGTATCAGTATCATATGTTTAAGAAAATGTACATATTTGCGAACAAATAGTTCAGAAGACAACAGAATCGTCGATTTAATTCCTCACCTAAGTTACATAAACGGCACTTTTAACCCAAACCGTTTATGTAACTTAAGTGAGGAATTAAATCGACGATTTTGTTTAATTTTTTCGCAAACATGTACATTTTCTAGAACATATGATGCTGATACAGTACGTCGTGGGGATTCCGCCTACAACGCGTGAAATAAGGAAAAAAGAAAAATCCTACCTTTGACATTCCGACATTTTGTTACCAAAACGAACCGTTTCGGTAACCGGCGTAATCGAGCGGATCACCAGTGCTGGTGATCGGACAGAATAAACGGAGGGAAATTCAAATGCAAGAAAATTCCACAAATCTCGAAGGTTTATATTATAAAGGAAAAGTTAATGATTGAATTGTGCTAAATGAATAGTCGCACGGTATGGTTAAAGTCCCCGTCTAAAGTTTGAAAATATTTTTTTATCATTCATTTCCTATTTGTCAGGACTTAAAAAGTGATTTTAGAGATGTTTGAACCAAAAAAAATGTTGAAAAAAAAGTTGTGAACATTTCATTTCTCAAATATTCAAATTTCCCGCCATTTTTCAAAAAAAGTTGAAATTTCTTAATCATCAAATATTTCTTAATGCATTTCAAAAAAGATTATCTTTTTAACACCAATGCAAAGATTGAACAAAGGACACACTATTTCAATAATAAAATTCCATATTTAATGAGCCACTTCAATGTTTTAGCATATCAAAAATATTTTGAAACATTAGTGATGTCACTAACTTAGGTAACAAAAACTTTTTGAAAAAAAATGAATTTTTTTTTCGATGTCAGTCTTTTCTAAATATGCTAGACTTTCATAAAAAACCAATGTTGATTGTCTAACCAGGTTAAAAAGAAGAATAAATTATGTTTTAGATATCATTGTACCATTGGTTTATATGAGAACTAAAATTTTGAAATGCATTTTTCTCAGAACCATTTTCATGCACTGATAAGTTCATTTCTCGCTTGTTTATCAACCGATTTTCTTAATTTTTTGGCAAAAAACATGGGAGGATGAATGCTATGCATTGGTATGAATTGTGGCTAATTAGAAGATATGAGTGATCTCTTAAAGTTGGTTTTAAATAAATTCACAAATTTTGGAACAAAAAGTCTATCAAAAACCACTTTTTGAAATTTAAAAAAAAAGTTTCACATATCACACTTTGACAACATAGGGTAAGACTACAATATAAGCCAAAGTGGTTTAAACTTTACATGGGGCCTTTAAATATATTACATCTTCTGTTTATTTGAACAGATACGCTTTTAAAATATGACATCTACTAAAAAGGCGCATCGACGTACAAAAGGCAATGGTTTTGCTATAAATCAAGCAAAAATGGTCTATATGCTACTTATAAGGAACATTATAATCACAAAACTAAATGTCATTCTTAGTTTAAAGTTAGTTACCATACGTTTTTAGAAAAATAATTGAAAAGTGGGTGGTTCATATGCCCATTAGACATGATAAAAGTTGTTACTTGACTTTATTCCCTAAAACTCCAAATTTCCCCATTTTTACTCTTCGGGGATGCAACAACCAGCTTCTTAATAAGTAACTGAGTTCATTTTTTTTCAAATACGCGAATTCGTGTAAACTTGTTCCATCTCAAAGACATATTAACCCCCTCCTTTCACCCCCCCCCTCCGTTCAATTTTAATATTTTTCGATCATATTTCATATGAAGTATGGTAGTTGACTTTAAAAAACAAAAATTACATTAATTTTGTGATAATAACGTCCCTTATAAGTATTTATTACAGGTCGTGTAAACCATTGTTGCCCAATTCATAGCAAAAACATTTACTTTTGCACATTGGTGACGATACGCCTTATTAATAGATCTTATATCTAAGAAGCGTATCAGTTCAATAAAAGTCCTAGAAGACATAACCATTCATTCTGTCCGATCACCGGACATGTTCATTATTTTACTATAATGACTAATGAACATGAACTACATGTACATATTAACCAATTACAGTATGTACCAAAGTATGTACCAAAACAAGTTTATTCTGGTCAGCGATGATGATGCCGATAGTCATTGTCCGATGAAAATGATCATTCTATTAACGTGAATAGGAATATGCAATCCAAGTACAGAGAGAGGTTCCCGCGCGCTCTTGCTCAGCCGATATTTCTATCATGTAAATATTATCAATTTGTTTATAGCCCTACTGGTGATTACTGGATTGGATTGACAAAGCCAAATAACAATGATGAGTGGATAACCGGCGATGCAGTTACATGGGCAAGTTGGGGAAGCTCACAACCAGACTCCGGGGCAGGTGCGTGCGTCCGCAGCACAGACAGTATGCAATCTAATTGGGAAACAGCCGGATGCAGCGAGCTACATCCTTTTGTTTGTGAGAAAGAAGGTATATACATTAAGAAGCATTAGATATGTCCAGTATATAACTATCTATCTATTGCAGTACGTGAACACATAAAAACTGTATAAAATCCGGGAGCTATTAATGTACGTACCACTCCCCTCCATAAGTTTGGCAACCTTAGCTCCCCCATTGAACTACGTGTTAAAGCCTCTTTACCTTTGAATTTTTATTTACTTAATTTGCGATGAAAATACTTAAACTTCTGATGCAAACGTAATTTGTCTTAATTTCCAATACCTCCAAATTTTCTCAATTTTTCTCCTCAATTACAATAAATCGAAAATTGATGATAAAGTTGATGAATTTTTGAAATTCGACATTCCCATATTAACCAATGGGAAATGGTAGGTTTGCCGCAAGTCATATGACAGAATATCCATCCATCCGAGTCCTTGCAAAAAATACGAGTTAGGCAGGCAATTGAATTTGCTAACTTTTTTCGCTAACTTTATTTAACAAAAAAAATGATATGTTCCTTCAGGTTCAACAAAGTTATAGGGCTGTAAAGTCAAAATTGTTTTTCAGAAAACCCCTCCCATTGAAATAACACAGGAGGCGAAAAATTATTTTCAAAAATAACTTTGAAGCTCTGTAGCTCTTAATATTCATCAAATAAACTTAACACTTAGTGTGCAAAACCGTTAGACAATTCAATTTTATATATGAAAATATTTTTTGCTGAATCTTTTACTGAAAAGATATCCTGATTTCTGATTTGCCCCGAACCCTCCATTTCACATTGGATTACATGGGAATGACGATTTTTAAAAATTCATCAAATTTATCATCAATTTTCGACCTATTGTAATTGACGAAAAAAATTGAGAAAATATGGAGGTATTGGAAATCAAGTTAAGTTACGTTTCCATCAATATTATAAGTTATTTCATCGCTGGTTAAGTAAATAAAAATTCAAACGTAAAGAGGCTTTAACACGTAGTTCAATGGGGGAGCTAAGGTTGCCAAACTTATGGAGGTGAGTGTATGTCGTATTCATCTCGGTTGGTGAAATAGTAACACAGTGACTGGACGTTCTACGAACGGAACTGTCGTACTTCAGTCCTAGTAGGGACGTTTTTAGGACGCGTTAAATTGTCTGAGGACTTATTGAGAACGAGGTAGAACTAATTACTCAGATGCGAGTAGGTAGTTACCAGTTTCACCACCAGGTGGCTGATTCGGGGGAATTAACATAGCAGAGTATTACAAAATTCCCTTAAACTTGAATATACATCAGTTTTAGTGGTTCACTTTTCATATTACCTTTATGTATCTGATAGTTATACAAATTACAATATGTCCAGCAAAATAAAATAGTATCTACCCAACACAAGAAAAGATATTTCACTTTTTGTGGTTTTACAACATGGGGTCTATGGGGAATCTCCCCGACCTAGAAGTCACATTTTCAAAGAAAATTAAATTTTAAAAGTTGATAAACTCTTTTCAAAACCACATTTCTAGATGTAATTTTACATGTAGATTCCAAATATGACAGCAGTTTGACTGAATTGTGAATTTTAAATGACGTAAATCAAGATTATTTCTACTCGCATCTGGGATATTGCCAACGGGTCTCAACTGATTAAGGACGTAATAAAAACTGTTTATGAACGCACTGGCGGATCCAAAAGCGAACACAAAAAATTGGATCTCAAATTTTGAAAATGTAAGGCCTATTTTTGATAATTTAGCTTAAATATGCCCAAAAAGGACCATTTTGTTAGAAAATGCTACGCAGTCAAAAGTGTAAATGATTGTATATCGTACCGTAGGAACAGGTGGAAGTTGTGGCACAGACTGGGATACGTATGGAAGTAACTGCTATTTACTGAGTGGGTGGAAATCACTTTCAAGCAGATCTTGGGCAGACGCACAAACCTATTGTGAAAGCCAAGGATCTCACTTGGCAGTGGTGACAACATCGTCAGAAAACACCGAACTGGCAGTTTGGGAGTAAATATTTTTTCCATTGCAAGTGACACTTGAACGTATCAAAAGAAAATCGGTTGTTAAAGTTTACAGCTTCAATTTCCTCAATTTTCAAATGTTAAATGCAAAATGCTAACCTCTACTTTTGAAAAACATAATGCACTGCGATCCTGAGATTAAACATTTAATTCCATTACTGAAGGATTATATATATTCTCAGATAAAGTTATTAAATAATGGGGAATGTTTAGAGTTTTCTTCATTTCTATGCCAGTTGTTGCCAAATAAGTAAAACTTTCTGTTCAATTCCCGTCCACTTAATACCCTATAAAACAAGATTGTTGATATTGTGAATGTTTTGAAATTGGTCAATTACTCATAATCAAATAATTTTTTCTTAATTTTTACAAAATGAAGTTTACTTGTGCAAAATTTCAAAATATTTTGGATTTTTAAACAATTTATTCATGGGCTGCGTTTTTGTGTCATCCTTGTATCGGGTCTCATAGTTGACATTTTTATTAGGACCACTGGTCATTGGTACGGTATGATACATGGAGGACGCTTTATTTGGAATGGAATTGCCACAAGCGCTGTGTACACTAGATGGGCTAGTGAACCAAGCCCAACTCTGACGTTTTCTGATAGTTGTATATTTGCTGATGTCTCAGCCAATCTAGGAGACTGGAAAACAAAACAATGTGTTGGCCAATCGAAAGGGTATCTCTGTCAAACTAGTCCTGGTAAGATTCCATTTATTCAGGCAATTCTTTTTTATCATTTTGCATCATATTCATCGTTATCCTAGAGTTCTAATTTTTGCATTTTTTACTCGAAGAACACAGTTATTTTATTTTATTCAATTCAAATTAACTTTTCTGTAAAAGGTTAAATGCTATGTTGAAAAATCAAATGGCCTATTATGCTTATGCTGTTCACTAAGAAATAATTTGAAATATTTTTTTTAAACAATACAGAACAGAGGTATATAAAGAAATAATAAATGTTTGGATTGGTACTGAATTTATCTCGATTATTTCGAAGCCTTCATATTTACATATTGGTATATATTGGTTCATATCATATCAAAAGGTTCTGGTAACTTCTCGATTACACTTTGATAGGTCTTGGTTTAATGTTATAATCATTCCATTTTCCTTTTGTATGAACATTCAATTCTATTTTGTATCTCTTAAAGTGGATGCTGACGAGTGCATTCTGGGGACAGACACGTGTGATACAAACGCCCTATGTACTAATACTATCGGAAGTTACACTTGTGCATGTAATGCAGGATACAGTGGAGATGGCATTTCTTGTGCCGATATTGACGAATGTTTGGCCAATACCGATAACTGCCACGTTGATGCAACATGCACGAATACACCAGGTAGCTTTGCTTGTGTATGTAATGCAGGTTTCTCGGGAGATGGTGTGACTTGCTCAGATATTGACGAATGTTTGGACAATACCGATAATTGTCACGTTGATGCGACATGCACAAATACACAGGGTAGCTTTGTTTGCGCATGTAATGTTGGATTTTCGGGAGACGGTGTAACTTGTTCAGATATTGACGAATGTCTGGGCAATACCGATAATTGTCACGTTGATGCGACATGTACAAATACACAGGGAAGCTTTATTTGCGCATGTTATGCAGGATTTTCCGGAGATGGTGTGACTTGTTCTGATATTGACGAATGTCTGGGCAATACTGATAACTGCCACGTTGATGCGATCTGTACAAATTCACAGGGAAGCTTTGTTTGCACATGTAATGTTGGATTTTCCGGAGATGGTGTGACTTGTTCAGATATAGACGAATGTTTGAGCAATATCGATAACTGTCATAGTGATGCGACATGTACAAATACACAGGGTAGCTTTGTTTGCGCATGTAATGTTGGATTTTCGGGAGACGGTGTAACTTGTTCAGATATTGACGAATGTCTGGGCAATACCGATAACTGCCACGTGGATGCAACATGTACTGATACCCCCGGTAGCTTTGTTTGCGCATGTAATGCAGGATTTTCGGGAGATGGTGTGAGTTGCTCAGATATTGACGAATGTCTGGACAATACCGATAATTGTCACGTTGATGCGACATGCACAAATACACAGGGAAGCTTTGTTTGCGCATGTTATGCAGGATTTTCCGGAGATGGTGTGACTTGTTCAGATATTGACGAATGTTCGGGCAATATCGATAACTGTCATAGTGATGCGACATGTACAAATACACAGGGTAGCTTTGTTTGCACATGTAATGCAGGATTTTTTGGAGATGGTGTAACTTGTTCAGATATTGACGAATGTTTGAGCAATATCGATAACTGTCATAGTGATGCGACATGTACAAATACACAGGGTAGCTTTGTTTGTACATGTAATGCAGGATTTTCTGGAGATGGTGTAACTTGTTCAGATATTGACGAATGTTTGGACAATACCGATAACTGCCACGTTGATGCGACATGCACAAATACACCAGGTAGCTTTGCTTGTGTATGTAATGCAGGTTTCTCGGGAGATGGTGTGACTTGCTCAGATATTGACGAATGTTTGGACAATACCGATAATTGTCACGTTGATGCGACATGCACAAATACACAGGGTAGCTTTGTTTGCGCATGTAATGTTGGATTTTCGGGAGACGGTGTAACTTGTTCAGATATTGACGAATGTCTGGGCAATACCGATAATTGTCACGTTGATGCGACATGTACAAATACACAGGGAAGCTTTATTTGCGCATGTTATGCAGGATTTTCCGGAGATGGTGTGACTTGTTCTGATATTGACGAATGTCTGGGCAATACTGATAACTGCCACGTTGATGCGATCTGTACAAATTCACAGGGAAGCTTTGTTTGCACATGTAATGTTGGATTTTCCGGAGATGGTGTGACTTGTTCAGATATAGACGAATGTTCGGGCAATATCGATAACTGTCACGCTGATGCAACATGTACAAATACACCGGGGAGCTTTGGTTGCGCATGTAATGCAGGATTCATTGGAGATGGTACACAATGTAACAGTATGTATGATGATTTAATATTACCAGTGTACGCAGAGTGGTTTCTGTAACATTCGACCTGTTCAGTAGGCCTCTCCTTCATATCTATAAGAACCACTTGGTTAAAATGATGTTTGTAAACGGGGACTGTTAAATTCAATTCAAAGAAGATTTCTAATGGGCCCTTATCCCATGATGCGATTTGAAAGTAAGCAAGTATATGTCAATTGATTACCATTAATAAAAAAATTATTTTCAGTGATCGACGCAAGATATAGAGAAGTGAACGACTGTCTTAAAACTGCTGGAGTAAAACTTAAATCCCATATTTTGGAAACAGCTATGAAAAGGTCTCGACTTGACTGCACCCGCTTGTGTTGTTCAAACATGTATTGCGTTGCTTTCAACTTTAAACGACACGATAGCACGAACAATTCTTCAAACAATTGTCAGCTTCTGTCCAAGACCAAGGAGAATGTACCCTCGACTGATGTTGAAGCAGATCCCAATTGGAATTATTATGAAGTCCAGTGGCGTATATGGACTTAAGAATTCAAAATAAGTGAACACATAACCTCCTTTGATTTTTTGGAGTTGTACTTGTATATCCGCCGATGTTCTCTATGTTTCATTTTTATTGTTACAATTGTAACAAAGGTGTTTCCCAGAGCAACTTACATTTAATATTTTAAATATCATATTTGCTTACAATTAGTCTTAAAGATTACAAATAACTGGTATGCAGTTTGCCTTCATTGAAAAGTTGAAAAGTTTGCATGATATTTCGAGCTAGTGGTTAACTGTATAATGTGCATAATGTGAATGATATCAACGTTAAATAAAATACATCCGGATCCATAGAACATGCTTAATGTTGCTATTCTTTCCGTTTTTAAGAATAATTTCTTATAAAGCGAAATAAAACCAATTTACTCGATTTAGATTATATTGCTACCTGACTGTGAAGGCCACTCTCAACCATGGTAATCCACCAAAACATCAAAATGTCCATATACCATGTATAATATTGGAGATGTAAAGTAAGCACTCGCCCGTTTTCGCGGCAAATTGAACGATTTCGAAAAATCAATACCCAAGTTTAAAGATGAATGATTCTTATACATTGGTATGGGTTTTTCGTAACCTGTGCAAAATTTTTAAAGAAATGAAAAATTAACATATATTCGTTAATCATTCAATCATGGTTTAATTTCAAATGAGATATTATTTATCACATTTATGAGTGTCAAACAAACAATAAACATGTTTCCTTGGATATAAGTCAACGTTATTGTTTGAAAGCTGCAAATTATTTTGAACTATGTCAAAAGTGATAACACAAGAAATGGGCAGGGTAAATTCATCCAATATTACACACTGTGGTTAGTCGAAATATGTGGATGCAGTCATATACATGTAATGTATCGTAAGTACCCGCCTCTGTACTTTTCAATGGAAGAAATTTGCACTTTTGTTTAAATGATCTAAATTTACTCATCCGTGAATATCATACTTCATTGATTTATCAAACCAGAGCTGGTCTATAAACACACATTATGCGATTTTTAACGGCGAATAGATAACTCAAACGAGTTCACTTGACCCGTTTTATCATCTCGCTCACAGCTGTGAGGTATGTATAATTTGCAAAAGGTTTACTCTATAACGGAGAATAACAAAATTCAAGTAATATATTATTTCACGTATCCAATAATGTCTGTGTGAAGTAAAATACATATCCAATACGTTTTATAAATTTTGGGGGTTATGGTATGAAATATCCGTTTCAAAAAAAGCAAGTTAACTTTGATGTATCGTTTGGATCAGTGGGCATTATTATTGGATTCAATTATCAGACTGACTAGGTTATAATTGAATTATTTTGAATTTGTGCATTTTTTATATTTTATATATATTTCTTAAACGCTTTCACCAGATATGATAGGATGAAATATCTATGGTTACATATAAACTTGAGTAGAAACAATAATACAACAAAAGTGAACTTTAGGATATGATGCGCATTTGATGCCTGGTGATAAACTCGTATATGATATCAGGAAAAATCTACCTTTTATGTTGACTAGATATAATAGGCATTTCACCTTAAAATGTTATTATAGTATATATCTTTAAGAGTAAATGATGGACAAGAAAGTAAATGTTTACTAGATCGAATAGGGATTTCACTTTAAAATGTCATAGTGTATATCTTTAAGAGTATATGATGGACAAGAAAGTAAAGTGGTGGTTTCTAGATCGCCCAGAATTCTGACAAGATTATTCAAAAGTATCATTAATAAGATAAGCATACATGTCAGTTTGTAATAAAGCAATTCTAAATAGACTGTCGTATTATAACACAGAATGTTTAAATTATAAGAAATATTTTACCCATGACCTTCTCCACTGATGTGCTACTGCAATATTTTTTATCGAAGCCTGTGTTGACCCAGACCATTTTTTATTAACATAAGAATTAAAAGTAAAAATAAATGAAGTCTTACTTTAACAACTTCTTATGCAACAGAAAGCCCATGAACCAAAAATATTTAGTTTCCTTTCTGTATCTCACTTGTTGGGTACATATGGAGCGGTGAAATAAACCACAGTGTCCAAAAACAGTAACAATGCTATATTGGTAATTGGAAATATTGCACCTACCACTATTTCAAAAAAATGTAAATCAATATTAGTATGCTTGAATTTGAATCATTTGTTTTAAGGAATCTGTAGGCTCTTTCAGCTGAGCTTACAAAATCATCGAGATTTACGGATGGTCCATCTGTCGATTGCTCATCGTCACTGTCAAGGGATGTTAATGGCTCTGGAACTTGATCTTTGGGTAAAACAGTGGGTTGATGAGTCTTTGGCTCTGAATTCACTTGATTGTTGTACCTGATTTCAATATTTTCAACGTCATTATTACATGATAGGGACCGATTTTTCAAGTTCACAGTATGAGGGATGAAACCATAGTTTTTCTCTTCTGTAATTTCCGGTTGGTGGATTTATATCTAGTCTATAAATTCTTAATTCTTCATAACATGTACACAAATACATTGAAGACAGTCTTTCTAAGGGCTGTAGAAAGTATTATTATTTTCATGTGAAACTCGTTCTCTCATTGGTCAATTAGATATCATGTGACTAAAAATATTTTAAGGTATTCCACGTCTCCCTGCTTAGAAAACGTGTGAAAAGTGTATTCACTGGCAGTGACGTCATTTTTAGTGAATACCACTATTTATTATATCACTGTCATATTCCTCATTCTCTTATTGGTCCAAGTCCTACACGTGACTAAAAATAACTAGCGATATTCAACGGAAGTCACGTGACTTTCGGTGAATATCAAATGATATTCAACGGTCATAAATGGACATTTGAAAAACATCCCCACCCGTGTTTCCTACATGGCCAATACTATGAGTATTCATGAACACAATGGTTCCATTTTCATTGACCCATTGCAATGTTACAATTAATTATAATGTTAACATGAAACCTTAAATTAAAATACTACAACCTTGGAGTTGATATTTATTGACTATACAATTTGGAAGTTGATATTTATTGTATTTATTGTAGTTATATTGTTAGAAGAAGTATAAAATGTATTTCAATGTTAACATATGACTTATTTAATTATAGAAGATGTTATGACAGTGATATAATAAAACATTGTATCATCTTGTGAAAGTGTATTCACCGAAAATATATAATATATTCAATATATAATATATTCAATTAAAATGTGATGTCACATCACTTAATTCCCGGAAATTTAGTAAAAAGTATTTTCATCCGATATGACAGATGGTTAAGTTGTATCAGGAAGTCCTCCCAAGAAAAGGTTCAATACTGTATAACAAATGCGGGATAAAGATTTTACAAATGTATTCAAAGTGTCAACTTATCAAAGCACGAAGACAATGGACTTTAACATGGAAGATCCGAATCTATTTTATATACATTATGGTGTGACAGAGATCGTGATTTAAAACAGAACATTGGCAAACGTGTGAAAATACGTTAAAACTAAACGTCATATTATAACAATATTGTGTTCTTCTCACTTTAATATTGTGTGCTACTTTAATGAAGGAATATTAAAACAAACATTGAATTCTGTGATCGTTTAATACCCGTTTATATTTCTTTGGGATGTATTCACCTCGCCCTTCGGGCTGCGGTATGTATGGTAAATCTGTAGAGTGAAATCAAAACCACTCAAGGGACTTTACAGTTATGGTTAAAATGCCTTCTTAGTCTGCCTGAACCAGGGCGTTTCGCTGCGTTTTGAAAGCATTTCGACCAAAACTGTAAAGTCCCTCGAGTGGTTTTGATTTCATTTTACAGATTTACCATACATTGAATGAAGATGATTTGTGCCAAATGTGAAGAGCCAAAACACTATGGTTAGGAAGTTGTTTTTTTGCGGTGGCAGTCAGCCCTGACTGTGTTTCCCGTATTTTTCTCGTACAAATGTCTTTTGAACAGGTGTCCAAGGCATCATGCTTTACAACTAAACAACTACAGGAGCTATACATACACAGTCCCTTCTTTCTTTCCTGAAAAAATGAATATATTTGAATTGGTATTTTTCAAGATATAGCGATTTCTTTGGGTTGCTTTTTATGAACACCCTGTATTAGTTGCAAGTAAGAATAATCTTGATTAACTTAATTATCTATTCAAAATTAAGTTAAAGGAATATCATATTTAAAGTCTACATGTAAAATTGCATCTAGAAATGTGGTTTGAAAAAAAAAATTTACCAACTTTTTATTCTTCTTTGAAAATGTGACATCTAGGTGGGGGAGATTCGCCATAGACCCCATGTTGCAAAATCTCAAAATCTCGTTTGTATTATTGTATGGTTTGTATGAACTGAACTAAACTGTTAATTAACCCGAATTAGCCACCTAGTGGTGAAACTGGTACCTACTCGCATCTGGGTAATTACCATGGCGTTCTTCAAAACGTACGATTTAAAACTGTGTGAGAACGGAATGAACGTAACTGCAACTTCCTACTGTCTATTCACGAACCTCGTGGACGTGCTCGGACGGGAAGGTAATTAGAAATACTGTTCTATATTTAGGTCGTGTGGCAACGTACTTCAAACGAGATGACCTGCTAGACTAAGAACGTAATTGCCGTACTTTGCTCCTACTAGGGACGCGTTAAAGACGTTGGGCAATTGGATATCAATTACCCTACTATCACACCAAACTAGTTGTGCAAACGGGTTTAAACTGATTAAGAACGTATTTAAGACTGCTTATGAACGAGTTAGCAAAAATATAGCTATCACACCAAACAAGTTGCCACTGCGTTCTTCAAAACTGGTTTTAAACTGTGTGCGGACGGAATTCCCGTACTTCGACCCTACTAGGGACGAGTTCACGACCTATCCCGTTTTTCGGATTTTTCGTAGGACTGGAAAGAACGGTTGAGAACTAGTTTGGTGTGATTCGGGCCTTACTGTACGGTACATGTGTGCACGAACTGCGAATGGGAGATGACTGTTCATGAACGAAGTAGCTAATTATTTTAGACACATTTCCCGACCAAAGCTAGCTTTAGCCCGGTTAACGCCTATTTTATAAGACCGCAAAAAACGGTTGAGAACTAGTTTTGTGTGATAGAGGGGTTAGTGGTTGTCAGATTGAGGATGTACATTTATGTTATAGTCCCCGATCTAATATTTCTAAGAGCATTAGATAAGTAGTTTGTTTTGTCCGGGTGTCCGCCACAAAGACCAACTACAGGGTGGTCAAAAAATGGAAACCCTGCATTTTCCTCATATCTTCGTAATTATTCCCTGAAATTTAACACACATGTACAACATTCAATTTTCTACAAGCTAACCATATTTCATGACCATCAGATTGACAGTCACAATGGTACAGCACTTTGAACAAGATGCCCCAGTGTGGCCACCATCGCGCTATTGGCAAATCTGAACAGGTTGTCAATGATCTGACTACATTTTTCAGCAGGTATGGCCTGACTGACATGGATGATCTGCTTTTTGACGTCTGCTGTTGTCCTGGGGTTATTCGCATACACTCATTTTTGGTGTATCACCACAGGTTGAAGTTAGGTAGGGACATTCTGGATGATAGGTGCAGGTTTGCCGAAAGTGCAATATTGGCCAATGGAGCATGTTCTTTAAAGTGCTGTAACATTGTGACTATCAATTTGATGGTCATGAAATATAGTAGGCCGGTAGGAAATTGAATGATGTACAAATGTGCTAAATATCAGGGAGTAATTTCCTAAAATGACAAAGATATGAGGAAAATGGCGACAGGGTTTCCATTTTTTGACCACCCGTGTACTACACAATGTCCCTGCGTATATGCATTGGGTTCTGTTGCATTTTACAGTAACGGGGGTTTTCACTTAGAAAATGAGGATTTAAGCAAGGATGTATTGAATTAACATGGGGACATGCACTATTGACTTAACATTGGGATATCATCAGATTTCTGAGCCATCATAGATATTTATTTGGCTAACATTTATGTCCCCCTGGACCTTCTATACACGTCGCCTTACCTTTTTTCATGCATTAGACAGTGTTTTTATTACTTGTTTTGGCACCAAAACATTGCGCCATGCAGATTTTTTACTTTTGCAGATATTTGCATCCTGTGGGAACCATCCTTTTGATACTTTCAAAATTCTTTATTCTCTTGATGATCAAACGCACTTAATTTTTATCAAAATCAATTGATGTCATACTTGAAATGCAGTTATGTGGTAAAAAGTTTAAAAAACATATTATACAAAAAGTTGTTTTTAGAAGGCAACCTTGTGTGACCCCAATTAAGAGGCAAAGGGCCCTGTTTCAATCCGAACGAAAGTCAGTACTTTGAAACGGTATGACACTTCGTTTTTCGGAAATTATTATAGAATATTGAAGCTAAGAACTTTCATAATCAATTCCATAAACCTATCGCAATGTTGATGCGGTGTCAAGTATTTGAAATATTAGTTTACACATCATATATATAGCACATTAAGGGATATCGGTTGATAATTACCATCAAAAAATGTCGCTTTGGAAGGAAATGCCAAGATGACTCGCCTTCGATTACTTATTCCATCAAATACTGGGTATCCAACAATTTCAGAAGAGGTGGGTATATTTATATTCTGTTTGGATGATGAAATAGAACCATTCTCCATTCGGAGAGTTACACTCCCTTCCATACGTTTGACAGCCTTTTTCCATAGGCTTGCGTGTTAAAGCCCCTTTGTGTTTGTATTTTTATTTTCATGACCTTCAACGAAAAAACTGAAAATGAAGGCGCAGATGTAATTTGACTTCAGTTGCCTTTTCTATTTTCTCCATAGCAATAGGTGTATAATAGGTCGAAAATGTATGACAAATTTAAATGAATTTTTAAAAATCGTCATTCAAATTTTAACCAATGGAAAAAGGTATGTGGATTTCGGGCAAATCAGAATTCAGGATGTATATTCAATAAAAAAATTAACCAAAAGTTAACTTTTGTCATGCTAGGTATTTAGTTAACTTTGCGAACATCAAAGTTAAAGAGCTTCAAAGTTAATTTTGGAAATCATTTTCACCTCCTGTGTTATTTCAATTGAAGAAATATGTTTCAAGTTGGTTGAAGTTGAAAACAATATTTCCCATGTTATTTTTCCATAAGGAAAACTGACGCGATCCATTATTTTCAGCTTAATTTTAGTCACCCAGAATTGATATCTTTAAAATCCCCTGCTTGAAACATATTTTCCTTTTACGAGGCTAACTGTGTCTACAAATGCAACATATTGATGCATAAAAACATTGAAAAACACGAGTGGAAGGGAATAAAAGTCAGGAAAATGTTTTTGAAAAAAATGTTGGTGAATGTTTGCACATTCCCTGTCTCGAAGTCCCAAATATTCTCTATGAGTACTTTTCTTTTAAACAATGCATAGGCCTAACAAATGCACCTTTTTAAATTTTCAGGAAATAGCCTCGATCCAACATTTGCACTGACTGTCTAAAACCTGTTGCGATACCTTCAGTGGTCCTTAACTTTACATACTAAAGGGTATACTAAAGGTATTCAATACTAATTCGAAAAATACATTTTAACAAATGATGCTGATATTTTTGACAGTGGGGTAAAATAATATTAATGAAGTAAAATGGGACAACCTGTAATGTTAAAGCAGCATTGATCATTGACTATCAATGAAAAGCTTAAGTGAAACTAAATTT